CGCTGCTTACCATTCCAAGCCCCACCCTTTTTTCTTTTTAAACATCACCAAAGATGAGGACGCACTTCCCAAGAGTCAGATATTTGAAGGCGGGATTTTTTCTATGGCAGTGGGGATCCTTCTTTCCAAATATTACAATAAGAGATTAATTTGAATAAATTAAAAAAAATTAAATTAAATTATAATAAAATTTTTTAAAAAAATTGTTTTTTTAACTATAATTATATTATTGTTAATTCTTGAGAATTGAAGTTTTAGATCTATAACTGAAATAAAAATAAAAAAACGACTTTATATATTAAGGATTGGAGGCGGTATATAAGTATTACTTTATTCATATTTACAAGTCATTTGTAAAGAAAAAAAATTATTTTTATAATTAATGATAATTTTTAAATTTTATTCCTGTTAAGTTAATAAATACAGAAGGAGCTAAAATAAATAGATGAGAAAAAATATAAATATATTTTTAATACCCTTCATTTAGTAAGGATAAATATGAAAAAGTATCAATTTAATGTATTTTTAGCGCACAAGTAACTCGTTATAAATAAAAACGGAGTGATTTTGTTTTTTTGCGAAAATTTTCCCCCAAAATATTTTAGCGAAGAGAATGGACTGTGATTTTATCTGGAGCCATTGGACACGATCCTCATAATTCAATGCGCACTCGCCATCCGCGAAGATCACGATTTAATTATCCAGCCACTGACATCTCCCCAGAAAGGGACACGTCGCCTCGCCTACGTGTCTGTGCCACATCATCACCACCCCCTACTCCCCCTGACGCGCACACTCATACTGACGTAAATTACTATAATACCCATGAGATCCTCTCTCATATCTTGTCTGCAAGTACGCCCTGTAATCTTTTGCACGGCATACAAATAATTAAATTTCGTCAATCAAAACCTGCTCAAAGCTAATAAACTAATGAAAAATACAACTTGTTTTTAAGAAGGGAGAATGGGTGAATGAGTAATTAATACAAAGATTTTTTTTTTGCCAACAATACAGTGAAATTAATCAATAGGAGGAAATTTAAAAAGTGTACTTAAAATTCCAGACAAGTTCTTAACATCTCCTATAAATAGTAAATAGAAGCATGTTATTTCTTCCAAACAAAAATTCTATTGTATATGTGACAGAAGGAAGTATTTTTTATTAGCTGCTTTATAAGCTTGTAATAGTGATTTAGAAAAAACATGTCATATTTCTTATAATGAACTAACTTACTTAACTTTTTTAATTTAATCAAATTAGTTAAATAGGTATTATATTAAAGACCATAAAAATACTTTCATATATGTCTTGTATTGACAAAAGTGATATGAAGATGTTCACGGTATGGAAATTGATACTCTTTGATCCATGTTATAAAAACGCATTCAATCATCTCACTAAAATTAAAAAAAAAAAGCGGCTGGTCCATTAAATTTTTTCAGGAGTATAAAAAATATAAGTTTATCTATGTCTAAAATTTTGAATTCATCTTGAGAAAAAAAGGAAAATTGCATCAAATTTGAAATATGAGTAACGTTGTAAAATGTATTTAATATCTCATCAAGTAATTTATAATAATAATAATGAGTGTGTTATGTGATTGATGAAAAAAAAAGAATTACTTCACAGTTTTAATAACCCAACTAGCCTTCAACAATTTACAATACATTTAATTCAGTTTAAAATAAATCATATTTAATGCTGGAGGGAGTATACGTGTACACAGAGAGAGAGAGAGAGGACAATATAGAAAGAGTGAAGGAATTTGATTTAATAAGAGATTTATAATTAAGAAATTGAAAAAGGGAAAAGGAAAAGGAAAGTGGGAAGTGGGAAGGCGCACATGGCTTGGAGATGAGGTGTAAGTTGGGGGATAGAATAAGAAAGTAAGAAACAGAATTAAGAATTAAAAATGCGTTAGGACTTAAGAACAACATGTGTTGGATCTAACAAACTGGGGCGGCGGGCTTATCTATCAATCATCAAAAAGGGGCCTTCCCTATTCTGCCGCATCCTCCCTCCCTCCTACTTGCTTCCTGCCTCTGCTTTCGAATAACATGTGGCTCTCCCACTTTTCTTCTGATTCCCTTCACATTTCTTCCCCACTCACCCACTTCCCCTTATTCTCATTCCCCTCTTCATTCTCTCATCACACTTGCGTCATCCCATTTCCCCAGCCTTCGTCCAGTAGGTACCATATTTCTTTATTCCAATCTAAACCACCATATATTCTCCTACAATCACTCTCCAAAATCAACTCAGTATCTCTGGAGACTTGAAATACTTACCAGCAGGTACAATGTTTAGTGTCACTGATTCCTAATCTATTCACGCACAGCTGGTCCTTCCTTCTGTTGTCTATTGGCCAGATTCCAACTTTAATTTAAAGGTTCAGCGTTTGGGAGCCTTTATTCTTTTATGTATATTATATTGACATGACAGTTTTATATTTTAAGCACTGTTTGGTTAGACAGAAGAGGAAAGATTCTTTTTCTCTCCTGCCAAGATCAAGATGGGTATCTCTTGTATTTTTGCTGCTATCAGCTGATCATAATTATTTCTTTATCTGGAACCAGACCGCACGCAAAATTCAGATATTTTTAAATAATAATAATAATAATCTTACCTGATACGCATGCTAAGTTACCGATAAAGAAGTCTGTCAACTTACTGTATCGTTCTGCTTCTTTTTAGTAGTATTACAAAATTATATTTGCTCTATAATCTTTATAAATACGAACCCGACCTTGAGCTATCAAGCACAGATGCAATATGTGATTCACGACGTACTTGAATAAGATTCATCAACACACGTCTCCATTCTTATTATCTGTAGGCATAATATGTGAATGGTATATATCTGACGTGAAGAGATTTGGTCGAGATTTGGATAAAGAATATGTACTTTCTTATCTCAAATCCTTGTAAGACCGAACTAGCTGACGTTGTTCTCAAGTTTCTTATCTAACTTCACTTTTCTTGGATTTACGCATCAACTCGCTGATATTAATGGGCTTGGTCTGAACCTTTTCTTTACTGACATTTCCAATCCAGACGAGAGCCTAGTTGGGCTTGAGCCCAATCTGCGCATGACATTTTAGTCCTAACTTCGTTTTTCAAGCCGTTCTTTTAGACCAACTTCAATCCAGTAATCCGATGCCGATTAAGAAAGCAGACATGTACTTGATTTAACACATGGAAAAACAAAAACTTTCTCTCAAGTGTTGGATCGTGTAATAGGTAAGAACCGTTATTTTTAATTCCAGAAGGCTGCAGATATATCTTTTTATCGTCCACTTTTCATGCTTGCGTTTGCGTGAGCCTCTCAGTAACTCTAATTGCCCATGTCTCTCTGGGAGATGGGTTAGAATAATGAATGTGCTACGACTCAAAAATGAGCAGCAAAGAACCGCATTTAATTGTTTAACTCTTCTCAGAGGGGTCAAGGGTATACTTTTTCATGCATATTGATGCTTCCTTTTCGCTTTTTCAGCGTGTGAGATGATCATTATGCGCTGAACCAACTTCATTTTTATATTACATACTGACGACAACTGTTTTTTTTCCCCTTCCTATCACTTTGGCTTTGTTGGCTTTCATTGCATGGTGTTACCTTTGTTTTCTTGACCTTAAAGCTCTCTCTCTCTTTCCTGACTTTTTTAACATGTGGTTTTTTTTTTTTTGTTTTCCAAAACCTAAACTAGGAGAGGTTGGCACGACAAGGAGGCTTATGCATGCATGTGATACAAGGCAGACACAACAGTTTCACACGCGTGAAAGTGGCCGGAGAGCAGAAAGATATGGCGAGCATTGGATACCCAATCAAGTTAAAGGGATAAGAGAATCTTGTAAGGTTTTTCTCTTGTTTCGCTTGAAATATGAAAAAACATCTATGGACCGGAAACATGAAATCCAATTCCATTTTGAATATAGAGTTAGATTATGGTGGGTCACTATCAGACACATACGTGATGTACCAACTCAGTGTGAGCCTATGCAGTAAGAGCTAGCTGTTACTAATTTACTGCTTGCTCTTTCACCATCACAGTACATATGAAGTTTTGCAGAGGAAGTGAGGATGCAAGTCTGGTCGCTGTAGCCATATCATCACGAACGACATGGGTGGTGCAATTCAATGGCGTACAGGGCCTACTGAAAAAGACGGCACGCCCAAATAAAGAAAACACAGTTGAAAGCTTTTTTTTTTTTTTTGGTCCAAAAACACAGTTGAAAGCTTAAAGTTGAAGATTGATACACATGGCGGTCAAATTTTTGCAAAGAACCTCCACCTCAAGAACCCTTTTCTAGGCTGGCATGCAATGATGGTGTCTGATGCATTTTTAATTCTTGAACCTTTTTCCACTAGATTTCTTGGCTATTCTCAAGATCAATTTAAACTTCAGAAACACTTTCCTATTTTGAAAAAGTTGGATGTGTGCATGCTGTGTATTTCACGAAAAGAGGCTGTTGGTAATAATGATAGGAGTTGGTGGATGCGTAAGTGAAGGTGTTGGCATAAATTTCAAGCTCAGTGAGATTGGGATGACAAGAAATGAAGACCCTCACAGAACTATTAACACTGTCATAGTCGGTGACCAGAATAGTAAGCCCTTCACGAACCAAGAGACTGATCGTAGTAATGATAAGAGATATCTAATGTACTCGACACAGAATTAAGTCTTGGTTGGTGACTCCTCTAATTGCCAACAGTTCTTCGCATGGAGACTGAGCAGGTTGCAAGAGAAATGACACATGGTGACTAGATATGAGAAGAGACGATAATAACAAGTCTTATCTCATTAGTTCGGTTACATAAATTACAGTACAACATTGTGTTCTATCAAAAACTAGATTCTTGAAATTATGAGGAATTGAGAATTGAGAAATATTTAAAATTACTGGTCTGTTATTACGTGGAACAACAATAAATCAGGAGAATGATGCAAAGATATTCAAAATGTACATCTGCACTTGTTATTCTGATAGATTCACAAGCCTAAGAAAATTGCAACTTCCATTATAATAGATGCAGAAGACATATCGCTTCTACTTTAATACCATGTTACAACACAAAAAGATTCAGCATATCAAAAGTTTAAAAATTATCACCAGCCCTCTAGAATTTCTGTGACAATGTTAAAAATCTCATATAGTGTACAAAGACAACAATTAATCATCATGCAGTAAGTAATTAACCCAGATCAAGGTTTGTACAAATGAAGCATACGATATTTACACCATACATGTTCACTTGGGTTGTTCTGTACTAAAGGTGATGCAGAATACAACTGATTGTTGCATGTAATTTCAGCTAATGTCATTTACTGGGCGATACCAATTGAAGCTTGCAAGCACAAAGTCCCACAAGCGTGCAAAGCTGACATGAGCTTCTATGGTGAAATTAATATGGAAGCACTTGCAGCCAGACACCATAGGAAACTAGCGAATCACCACGCACCATGGAGATTACCACATATCCACTTGCATTCAAATTTGACAAGGTGATCTCACAGAAACTCAAACAAATTGCATGACGAGATCATAGAAGTTTCACATTCTGGCAGATTCCTTAGTAACTATCTTGAGTAGCAATTCCAAGTCTCATTCATAACTTAAATGCTAAGTTTCACGTTCCACAATCAATAATGACATCAGTGTGTTCTTGAAGATGCGTTAGTTTATCAGGCTTAACACCACAACCAGACATCTTATGACAACGTTAGCTTCAGAAACAATAAGTTGTTTCGGATTTCAGCTAGGTTATTAGAATGGCTGATTGGTTCAATTTCTGATGTTATACGGAAGTAAAAGTACAGAAATAGGCCATCACAAACCGATTATTAGTTTCACTTCTTAACCTAGATGAAGGTCTTCACCCGTTCTCCAAAATAAAACATTTGCCAACACCAACTTTGGATACCCAAGCTCTACTATAGTACGCTGGCTTCAGACTTCAACTGATACTGAAAAGGAGGACTTCCACAATGAGTGAAAACCACATTGACTTCTTTGTATCAAGAACAGTATAATCCGTTTCAGATATAAAATTTCATGAGTGACAAACCAGTGAATTTGGCCAAAAAGAAAAAGAAAAACCAGTGAAAGGAAAGGGAAAATTGCTATCCTTTACAATGACAGAGAGCTGCAGATGTCAATACTTAGGTCGACCATATCATATTCTTGAAAGAAATTACCATTGAAAGGATGTCGAAAAACATTACATGTATAGTCGATGAAAGGTCCCCTGCACGAGTTTGATGGAAATAGCCAAGTTGTCTGCGAACACCCGAACCCGAAATGCGAAATGGTAACAAGAGGGCAAATTGTGTGTGGAAATACTAATTTAGTGTGCCAGACAGCTATTGGGTTAGAATCTTTCAGATGACAAAGATGAAGATGCAATACGATTTGGCAAGATGATTATGTAACTATACCATTACTTTCACAAACAAACAGATCATCACTCCATCCTGACCTATAGAAGAAAAAAGAAAAAATAATCGATTCCTTACAAAGCAATATTCAACACACCTCCGAATTAAACAAGACATTAAGTCCAAACCCAAGCTATGTGCCAGTGCAACTCCACCTGCAATTTAACATCACATACAACATATCAGTAACAACCCATGCGTGAGGATAGACCAAGAGAGAGAAAATTGGGAGCACCTGTTTCTGGAGACTCGAGTAGTGCAGCAAATGAATAAGAAGATGTTTTTTTTGGTTTGGGGGGGGGGGTGGGGGAAGCCAAATCCAGGTCCTATTGAATTCCTTCAGGTATCTATTTGCACACGTCTCCCAATCATACAATAGAAAAGCCATTTGTAGAAGCCCCGGACTACGGACAATTCTACTTGTTTCACTGTCCAGAGCCCTGAGAGTCTTCCTTGGAAGGAGGCTGCTGATGCTGATGCTGATTCTGCTGCTGCTGGTGTACTCTGGCCTGACCCATCTGCTGATAAATCTGGGACAAGGCTTGTGGGTTGATAACACCGATGTGACCATCTTGAGACAAACCAAGCTCCAAGCCGGGCATTTGCTGGTTAGTTCCACCTAAAATTGAGGTGAAACTCATAGCACCCATGTTCGTGGCTGCCGGAGGCAAGTCAAAGCCAGGGAAGCCAATCTTTTGCAGGTAATTTGAACTCTCGCTTCCAAGACTTGGTGTGGATGGACCCGATGATGACTGAAACCCGAACCCACTAACTGGGGGCCATATGCCAGTAGCCATATGGGGTCTCCCCAGATTTCCGCCCACCATAGCCCACCCGGTCCTACTGCCCGACCCAATATTGGACCCCCCATATTCATCAATTTTCTGATGCAATCCTGCAGACAGAGAAGTCCCCTGTTGTGAAACAGAGCCACCTGCAGCAGCTAAAGCTGATGCCGGGATCGTGCCGCTTCCGGTGGCCGCGATGATCGAAGGCTCCGCCTGCTGGAGAAGCCACTGAATGGTTTCGCCGTCAGATTTGTGACCCAACTCTCTGGTCAACTGGAAGATCCTAGCGGCACACAGAGCGGGCATCCGTATCCTCCTTCCTCTGCCCTCTACTTTGGTGTGTCTGTCTTTGTTGGAGCTCCTCTTGGGCGCTAACTGCTTCTTGTTATTGTCTTCTTTATCGGCTATCGCAATCTGGAAATCCTTGATTTCTGCCGGCTTGTTCTCTCCCATGATGTTGGCTTGTGGTTGTGGGAGACTCAAGAAGTTGGGTACCTCCTGCTGCGATTGCTTTGAGCCCTTGGGATCCATGAACAGGGCACAAAATTATTTTTTTTAAAATAAAAGGATGGGACCGCTTTGATCGAAGGAGGATGGCCTGAAAAGTCCTAAACTTTCATGAGCTATTCACTGTTTTTGGCAAGGATGAAGCGACAAAAACCACAGAAAAATATTAAAATCCCAATGTGCCCCATGCCAAGTTTTTAGATTTTTACTCCGCCCCCTGCTTCATTCTCTCTCCTTACCTCTTTCTAACTGTAGCGGGATTTGACCTCCCTGACATGCCGTCAACTTTAACTCAAGTTTCACCACCCGACCACTACTAACGTTACATATCGTTCAGACATGTAACATAACATAACAACCCCTTTAATATATTTATCCCTCCCACATTCCACTGCCTTTCTCTCATGCATGCCACGGCCCATAATTGCAGCACCGGCAACGGATGATGCCAAATTGCCAACCATGGATCTCTTGCAAGGAACTCCACTCCCAAGTGGAAGGCTCCGGGAGCGACACTTGGAGGGCTATGACTGGGGGATGGGGTTCACACGTCGTCCACCACATAATCCTCTATAAAAAGGGCAGAGAGGGGATTTAGGGATGAGATCAGCAGGCACCATTTGAGGGGGGAAGAGAGGGGCACGCTGGGGTTTATCAGATAAAGGGAGGCAATGATGGAGGAAGGAGGGTGGCAGAAGGCGCGGAAGCAGCATCTTGGGGAGTGCTGTGTTGAATGTTGCTAAATCCGTGGTGTGGGGCCCTGTGTTCAAGTAAATAGACCTCTTATGTCATGACATGACAGTTTATGAGCCATTTACCTTAAAAATCCCATTTCACGTGCCCAACGGTAAATAGTACGTACACAGTTACCCACATCCGTAACTACCCCACATCCACACGCCCTCTTTTGTATGGAGCTTCATACTATTGCAAGTTGACCTCCCTCTTTTGTATGGGTTTCATCATAACCTCTCTGTTTGCTAATACATATGAGAATTATACATTTTTTAATAAAACCCATTAATTTTAGGGTTTTCTGATTTTGTTTGGGGGGATCTGAGATGGCTCTCATTTTAAAAAAAATGAAAAATAATTATCATTAAAATTTTACTTATAAAAGAATCATACATTTCTACACATAAAAAATATCGGAACTCTGGTTTAGATTTTTCCCACTAATAAATTTTTAATTAAATGGATTTTTCAGGTTTTCTGGGGTGGGGTAGGTATACGTTGGAGAGGGAGACACGGACACAGAGATTGTGATACGTAATATAGTAATAATAATTAAGTGTCATAAGTTAGGGCGGAATCCAGTGCAATGGCTTCCAACTTAAATTTAAATACAAGTAAATCAAAGCTAAAACTTACTACTACATAAAAAATAAAAACTAAAACTGCAATATATTATCGTTTAAAATTTATCATCCCATACATACTGATACTAACGCATCTTTAATAATTTAAATTAATATTTTACATGGCAATTTTTAGTCGATATTAATAAAAAATTAGGTTTTGTTTTTCTTTTTAAAAAAAATTAAAAATGTCCCATCAAAACGTGGGGCCTCAAATATATTAAAAAGATTTTAATTTTTATCGGAATTTTTTCTTTAAAAAAATAATGAAACGTCAGAAAAAAACCATATATGATTAAAAGTGGAAGCCCACTATTCAAAATACTGTAGAATTACAGTACATCCAGGTTACAGTCGACCTTTATAGTTTTCCATGCAAGGTGTCCTGTTTTATAATTTACTTCAAGTTAACCAATAAAGGTTCATTCAATTAATAAAAAATTATTTACAACCTATAAAATCATAAGTTCAAATTCTACTATTAGTGAGCCATTTATAAGTATATTATTGATCTTATTCCTCTGATTATTGATGTTTAAGTTACATAAAATAAATATGTAAAAAAAATTTATTTCATAAAACATAAAAGTAATATTTTTTCAAGTATTCTCAACACAAGTAAGTGTTGGGATAGCTCCCAAAAAAATTATTTTTACATTTTATAAAATAAAAAAAAATTTATCTCGGGTAAAATAATTTAAATCAAACCGTGTTTGCTTCAATTATCACGACGTAGTGGACGTGGATCCATGATTTGTACAATGCGCGTGAATTTTTCAAACATGTATTCCCATTTTATGGCCGCTCCCGTGCCTTATTTTGATCCCACTTTTATTTGCTTTCTCTTTTACATGTTTTTAATGTTTTTTTCCTTCTTTTTTTTAATATGGATTACCATTTGATAAAACATTTAACATGAACAACTACTGCAATTATTATTTTTTTAAAAAAATAAATATAATAAATAAATTGAATTAGGATCTTATATTTAAAATTAAATTACGTATTAAATTAGTTCTTATTTTAATGATTAGAGGTAATATATGAAACCAAACGTGTTAAAGAATAACATCCTCGTGTTTTCGAGGATTGGGTTGCATAACAACGTCTTGCTATTGAATATCTCATGTGTCACTCATTTTATTTTAAATTAATTACCTTTTGGCAGCGTTAATTTTAAATTAATTGCTCCACCTTATTAGTTCTCGCTTTAATAAAATCACATAAATAACTAATTTTAGAACACAAGATAATATTAATAATAGCTATAAGCATCTTATAATTGGAGGCTTACCTTTTTAGCCAAATAAAAGTTCATATATGAGTTGGAAACTTATTAAAGTCATAAAACGCATTTAATAAACATTAAAAAACTCTCACAACATAAGATACTTATTATCTAGTTATCTTCACTAATTTAAATTATAGAATGAGAGATAAATAGAACATATGTGTGTGTGGGTGTAAAATAAATTAAGACGCATTAGATTTTTTTTTTAAATGTCACGTTAATTATATTTTTGTAACTTACTCCTTCCGGTTCAAAATATAAGATAAATTTTATCCATTTAAATTTATAAAAAAATTATTTAAAATCAGTTTAAAACAATAAATATGTAATACATGTTTTTTTTCTAAATATGCCCTTATTAATGAAGAGAATAAGTAAAAGATACAATAAATGGATAAGAGAGGAAAGAGAATATATGGGGTAAATTTGAAAAAAAAAAACTTATTAAATGTCTAGACAAAAGTGAATGCTGTTTTATATAAAAAAAAATCTTTCAATAAAGTTTAGCTTATATTTTGAACTAGAGGAAGTATACGTTAAATTCTTAAATGAAAAATAAAAAGAAAAACGGGGATATACAGATTCACATGCATAATAGTGATATAATTATTGAGTTTATTATATGTGTTTCTCACTTTCCTGAAAGTGGGATTTGTTGACAAATTGAGATCGTGTGTGTGTATAGATGAGACATATAAGAAACCGAATTTGAGGGATGGACGATGAATAAATATATCTATATTTTCTGAGGGTCTAAAGTGCCCATCAGTTATTTTCCACTGATATCGCGTCTGATTGGTATAGACAACGACAACATTTACGAAACTTCCTTGAAAGCCCCGGCTCATTTCATTTAATATAATTATCAGAAAAACTTCCAACACCAATTTGACACTTTAAAAAATGGGCTCTTTTGTAACATTCTACGCGGTAACTTTTCATTTGCCTTCAAATTATATACGTTTCGTTGGAGTGTGTGTATACAGCGCGCACATATTGATTTCTTTCTTTCATTTTAGAAGTTCGGCAGTCTAGAAACACCCGACTTACTGTCCTTATCTCAAGACAAGGATGAATCTGGGGATTTAGATAACCTAGTTCTAGTTACTAGATCACATCGCATGTGGATCAAGTGATTAAAAAAAAAACTTAACCAATATCTTAAAATAAAACGAAGAAGAGTACAAGAAATGAGAGATAAGATAAGATGAAGCATATCCGTGCGCTTGAGGGATTATGTTGATCCAATCTTAACGTATAAGTTTTTGGAGGCTATCAAGAACTTGATTATCACTTACAATATGAAAGCACTGATCATGAGGACACGGGTTAGTTGGCTAATTGGTCCAAAGTTGCTTTAATCACCAAATTTCAAAAGTTTTACGGGTCGATATGATTGTTTTCCCCCCTTTTCACTATTCTGTAAAGAAAAATCTAGTGCATTCCTCAAATGAGACTTGTAAGGAAGAGAACACCAACCCAGTCAAATGATCACTCATCATGTAGGAATCTCAGTACAGTTGCCACATCCATTTTTCTTCCATTTTACACCTCTTGTCTCATTATTGTGTATGAGTCCCGTAATCATAGTTAGAAATATAGGGAAGCTTCGTTTCTGGGGAGTTTTATAAGACCAGAATGAAATTTGATACTATAAACTCTCTCTCTAGCTCTCTCAGTTCTTTTTTTTTTTTTTTTTGACTTTGTTTGATTCAATAGAGGGAAGAGAGGATGATAATAATGGGAGGCGAGACTATGTGTGCGTAGGTGATTGCATTGAGAGTCACATGTGCATCCCACCATGCAGACAAGGTAGGTCCCTCCATCAAAGCTAGCTGTTGAAATATCATACCTCATTTCATATGAATTCAAAGCTTCAGTGGGAAAAGATCTTCTTTTTCTAATTGGGTTTTCTTTTCTTTTCTTTCCTTTTTTTTTTGCCCTTTACCTTTGATTTTTTAAAGACTCGCTTCCATAAGAGATAAGCTTCATGCTAAGTTTGTCTTAATCACTTTAGTTATGCTTCCTATCTCCTGTCTTTTTCAAGAGTTTAAATTGTTTCTTAATACGAAACTGCAACGGTATGTTAATTACGGATCGGATTAGCTGCGATTCTGCTGAACTATTTCATCGCCTAAGTCACCGGAAGGTAAAAATTTATTTCTTTGGGGCCTCCAATGCGTATTAGTTTCAAGTCTCCTTGGGTCTTGTAACAGTTCTGAGTTTTGCTTTCCAAGATGCACCTAACATGAAAAAGAAAAAGATCACTTAGATTTAAAAAGCTACCAGTATTATTATGGAAAGAAGCATTAAAATTTGAACGCACTCCATATATGCTTTACAATGCTTTTGTTGACAAAGATCATGAAAGTGACAAAATGAGGATCGAGAAGAATTTGAGTTTTGGGT